CAAAGGTTTTCAATGCCTAAAAGACTTTCATTCACATTTCATCGTCTATTTTCTTAAAAAATACCTAAGCATCTAAAGGAATGTCTATTGTACCATTCCCTTTCATCTACATCCTTTTTCAATCTTTATGAGGTGACGTCGTTTTTCTAAGTTAGTACATTGTTTGTTATATTTTTTCTGTTTGAGAGATTTTGACACAAGAACTTCGACATGGCATCCACAATTATCATCATTTTGGTTTTTATATATTTTCACTCCATCAAGTGTTCATATTATCTATTGCAATAAGACTGCGTTCTGCCAGTTAGTTTCACTCTTTTTTAATGTAAACGAAAAAGGTTTGTGTCTGTTTGTTGTCTTCTTTTCTCTTCTCTACTTTCCCATTCAATTTCATTCTGTTTTTGATATATCATCCAAGTTTTAGTCAATAAAAGATTTTTGCCAAATCAATCAACCGTTCGCGATTTTCACTGTTAAAACAAGTCAATCAAAACATTGGCAACAAGATGTCCCGACGACCGTTGGCAAATTTCAAACCAGGAACTCTTGAATTAAAAAAGGCCTTGAAATTAAACGAATTTTACTCCCTTGTGACAAAATCTAGACTTCAAGACGTGTTTATCAACCGCGTTTTCTAGCTGAGGCTCAAGGAAGCTCATTTTCCGCCCTTTAGTAGGGAAGTCTATTTCGGGTCTATTTTTCTCAAAAACCAAGACCGTTTTCCTTTGATTCAAACACATGCGGAGACTGCGGTGGTGGCATTAGTGAATGCTCAATCTGTTCCGTGTTTTAGGTTAGGGTTGGGGTTACGGTTGAAGTGGATGGAATTAGGACAGTTATAAAATATTGATAGTTTGGTAGAAACTAACATGGTGTTCCCTGTTTCACAACCTTTGATCGGAATCGCTCTATACCGTCTGAACCACAGTCTTAATCTGGTTCGCAATCTTTAATAATCTGGACTTTGTTATATAAATAACATATAAAGCAAGCATCAATGAAGATGATTTAGTTAAGGATATCTGTTTCTGGCCGTTTAGGGTAGAGCATAGCTTGAAGTCACTCACACAGCGTTTACTTTGAGTTACGAGAACTTCCATCTTGCTAAAAAAGATGACATCGAAGCAGCAAATCTCCGGCGACAACTGTTTCACTCTCATGGAAATACATCTAATCCTCTGAATTCATGCTCATTTTTGCAAACATAAGACTTTATTTAACGATAAGTTTCACTCGTAGTTTTCGTATTCAAGGAAAATAAAAGTGCGCGTTTGTAGGAATATCCATGACGCATTAGGAAAAAAACATCAGAATTCTCTGGAATAACTTTTATGTGATGGGAAAATGAAGGCTTAAATCCTTCCGTTTTAATCTTGCCTTGCTTTAAGCGCTCAAAACAAACAATTTCACAGGCGATTTATCGCAGTATCGTCATTCAATTGGTTAAATCTACTGAACGTTTATTATCATAACAAAACTTTAAGATTGCAACTGTATTATTGTTTGAAAACAACGTTATTATTATTTTTTTGGGGGAACATTTTGTTGTTCTCTTTATCCAATTGTGCACGAGCCCTTTGTTAAGAGTTTTCGACCTAATTAGCAGGCTTAATCGTAAGAGCTTAAAATAAAACTTGTATATTTAATAGAAATTGTAGAGTCCACCTTTCCAAGCCAAAGGAAAATTTCACCGACTCACGCGATTTGTCGAACTGTACCAATGACTCATGAAGCGCTCAATCTTATTTTGATCTGTAAACCGAGACATGACATTGTACTTGTACAAAACGGCTGTAATCTTGACAGAATTTAAAGTGGTAAATTAAAAACACAACTAATTTCCTAACAGAAAGAGCTGTTCGTTCCTCTTGGAACATCAGTCTAACGGTGAGACTTTTAGTCATCTCAAAATGAAGCCCCGCAAACCGCGCCGCAAAAGACGCACAACAGCAAAAAGACGATTATGTTTTTCAAGTGAAAGTAGAATAAATTGGTTTACACACRGAGRTTATCGAAAAGACCATCTTTTATTTAGATTACTGTGGATGAGAGTACATAAAGGAAAGATTGTGTACATAGTGCAGCGAACAAAGACCATATTTAACTTCGCTATATAACAATATTACAATTAAAGAATTTCACAAGGCAAAAAAACTGGACTATTTTCCCCTATATCCAGATAAAGTAGCTTCATACTATCTTTGACATGATTGGGCAATAGATTTACGATAAAACTGCGCCGTTTTTTATCGATCTTTATAGTTATTAGGAAGTAGCCACTTCGRCCTCTTTAAACACTTCTCAGAATTCGAAATATATTGTATTGGACAGACCAATTTCAATTGATTTTGACCATAAATACAGTTACCTTCTAATGTACTATTTTAATGAAAAACTACCGTCTCAGCACTTTTAGTTACTGATACCGAAAAAGTCCAATAACTCGGCTTTATGGCTGGAAAGTTTGCTTTTTGTACCATTTATTTACTTTTTAGACGTATTCTAAATAGAATAATTCTTTGTGATGTAGAGTTTGATCTATATAATCAATCTTTGGAGCAGTTTTATTTTTATGCCAACCGCACCGTATACCTATCATAGGCTAGACAGAGATGGCTTCTTTTTCTTTTTATTTCTTTTTACCTACTGAGACCCTGCGCTTTTTACAAGACGGGGGATCGAATATCCCTGATCCAAATGAAACTAAATTATAGTCATGTTTTTTTATTTTTAAAAGAGTTTTGACACTCGATCTGTGGAGATTAGGATCCCGTTAATGTCATGAGCGCCGGTAAAGTCTTGTTTAACACACTTAGAACATGGAAAAATGAATACAATATTAATCAAAAGGCTCTCCCTTGAATAACTAGAGGATGAACGAGTGTATTGCCGTATAAATTGTCCTTTTTGATTCTTAAAGAAAGCATTTCCCTACTTTTCTCTCATTACATCTTAAAGTAAGAGAAAATAAGCGCATCTATGTTGAAGACTTTTTCGTTGCCTAATCGATTTCTCGTTTATAAGAACTGTTTTCAGTTTGATTCATTCATGCTGAGCTCTTTGCTTACATAGAAGCTAAAAAAATTGAAAATACCAGAATAGGGGAGWAATATTATCAAGTTTTCAATATGTAGAAATATGTGTAGTTCTTTATACTTTYAAACTCGTGATAAATAGAAAACAAAACGCTTGTAATTTCTCAAATTCTGATTTACGAGTTTCGTCAAAATAAAAGCAAATATTTAGGACAAGTAAAAAGAGTTCAATGTTCGTAAGAAGACAGAGGCTAAGCTAATACAGACCAAACCTGCTCACTGGCAAGCTAATAAGAAAACCATCTAAATTAAAAACACACTCTCTCTTTAGTTCATGTTTACTCGTGTAACTGATTTTCTATTAACTCTGATAAACAAACAATGTCCCGTAAATGATGAACAACACAATGGGAAGCGTTTGCCTTTGTGGCTGTTGGCCCGTGCGGTAGTTGTCAGGTATAAATACAAGCCTCGTGCACCTGTCTAGTGTAAATTTATGAGATAGAGCGTATGCCATTGGGATATTAAAAGACAAGTTAGTTTTGTAATTACTTTAAAATTACAGACAAAATCGGAAATATTAAAGGAAAAAAAAAATATGTTTATGTAAAAGGGGCTTCTGTTTTTTTTTTTAGAAAAGACTAAGAAAGTTGAAACGAATGTAAAATATGTAGAGATTTTACGAACAAAGCAATAGTTTACTTGCTTGTCCCACATTGAAACTAAATCTAAAATGAGCTGAAACAAGTATATTTTTGTGTAGTTTTCTGATCATATAAAGCTCAGAACAAAGCTTTGAGAGTTGTTTTATATCAAATGCTTCCAGAGAATAAAAAATATTAATAATAATAAATAAAATCATGTTTGAATTAAAGAAGTTCATGTGAAAAGAGGAGAAAAAATCTCCCATCTTATAAAGTAATTGGGCTGTTAGGAAAACCGACTAGTTAGCCATCCAGTAATTAGCTATGAATAGAGAAAGCGTTTGTTGCATTATGAAGGTGTCAAAAACCCTTTTTATGGCAATATACGCGTTGATATTTGCCTGCGAGAAGAGAAGTATAGCACACTGTAGATTATGACATGTCTAAAGGCAACAGTTCTAAGCGCGCGTTACATGGGTTGTGCAAACACTTTCTATATGGTCTACAATTGTTGAGTGCATTAGGATCAACAATCATTCCATTGATTTAAAATGGACTTAAAAAGTTTTCTTCAGTAGGAATTTAACAATATTAACCAAAAATAACAGCTTGCAAAGGAAGCGTTCGGCTGTTCGCGACATAGTTTTGTCTCTTGAAAAACCATGAAAGCTTTGAGACACCAAAACGCGAGAACCACATCGCTTCATTGACTGAAGTGCCGAAGTTCTCAACATCATTAAGAATTCACACTTTCTTTCATGCTTTCACCATGAGTCTTGATTGAAAATGTGTAGCCTTGTATTGAGAATAATGTGTTGTTAAGTTATGGCCTCGGAATGGAGGCATTGTTATGTTGTCCATTAACAAGCAAGATAAGTCGACTTTGTTCCCACCCCCTCGCAACTCTATAGATTTCTCTTGCGGTTAAAGCGAAACACTATCTTCTATTTTTGTCAATCAATTTACCATTCTGCCTTTGATAGTTAGGCTGGTGTATTTGATTTTCAAATGCTTAGTTAGATTGCGCGCTTGTGTTATATGTGAATACTAGAAGAAGCCTGTTCGCGATCATTTCTTTCAGTTTTCTGTTCCAAGATGGATATCAAATCGGTGCGTGCTTGCCTTAAATAGTCTTTTCATATTCGGTGTTGCAAAGGTCAAAGCATTGTCTATGCTAGTGGTTTTATTTTTATACAGTCCATTTTACACACAAATACAAAGAAACGCAGTAAGAATAAAAAGCAGTCCATATCAACCACGCAAAGCGCGCGCGCCTCAATAACTCCCAAAAACAACATGAAATAGCACCAGAGATTCTTACCCTCATCATCTTCAGGCTGGAATACTTGGTCCTCACTGCCATTGGGAGCTTTTAGGGTCCTCTTGTTCTTAACCAAGAACGATCTAGGCATGTTATAGATACTTTGTATCTGTTATTCCTCTAAAATATACACAAAATGCATCATATTCAGAAATGAGAAAATAACTCTGAGAAATTTCCTTGTGTACCTTAAAAGGGTTGGCTATCTTGCCGACTTGTCGTTCAAACCGTTACTTTTGGTCTCACGCGCACTAGCTAAGTGAGGAGATGTATGGCACGTATGGTTGAACTGAAGACCACGTGACCTTCTAAAATACAGGCCTGTCATGGCGATAAACACTGCGCCTCAATCAAAATGAAAAAACAACAAACACTAGAATTGTAAACACTATGGTGCGATAAACAAGAAAGGAAACAGAGACCATTTGATTTGATCTTAACACATGTTCAATAAACTAATAAAATCGGCTTTTATTTTTTGGGGGGAGAAAAACTGAATTGTTTGATGAAGGAAAAAAAGCGCAGAATAAAAGTCATTAAGAAGACAAAGCTCGCTTATAGTTAGTTATATAGTTTTAGATTTACGACCCAGTAATCAACGCGTTTTGACTTTCACTCCGAGGCGTCACTTTGGCTATGGAAACAATTGCCAATTCTCCGGCCTACTGCCGTGAATACGAATATTTACAAGTTATTCGCCATGGTTTCTCTAAGGAAGTCATTTAGTGAAAAAAGCGTATTAAGCAAAGTAAATATGACATTACCCTGATAGGTTATCGCCCGAAGTCTGTTACACATTATGGTATAGACACATGAACACGCGCTGTTTCGCAAGCGAAGCAAATCCGAGAAAAATATACTAAAAGATAATATCGCGAAAAGTTGAAGACCGTATAAGATAAGCAAGAAATGTTTGTATTTCAGTTTAAGTTGTTCTTTTCAATACAGCTGTATTAAATAGCATGTTTTACCGACAATGAAAATTTAGCTCCATAGAGTACGTTAACGGATATACGATTAGACCATCGATTACCGCTATATATATGTACATCTAATAGGTTGGTCCAATGTTGTGAATACGACTTCGCTTGTGGGTAGAAATAAGTGACATCAACTTTTGTCAGGGTCTGCGGTTAGATTTGACGTTCTATTTCTGGTTTGACAGAGTTGATCTGAAGAGTTAATAACTCATAATTGTAGTGATAGGGCCATCAAAAAGAAATGAGTTGAACCAATTTAGCCAGGAAGAACGAGCACTGTTAAGAGGAAATGGGAAAAGAAAGACCCTTCGGTACGGGAAGCGATTCACCATTGTTTTCAAACACATAATCAAATCATTCAAACTTTTGTTTTAGAATTGATTGAAGAAAAAACATCAAGAACCTTAAACGGAATTCGCAAATTACTGAGCTTTCAAACACTTTATTTATTTTTTCTTGAATACTGGATAGCTACCTGGCAATCGTGAAGGCGAGCTAAACTGACAGTTCAGCTATTAGGGGTAACTGAATACCCTGTAGTTACTGTAAAGCATGATTTTTTCTTGAAAAGAAAACTTCTAAAAAGCCGACTCAAGCCACTTATGATGTGAATACGGGCAAGCACTTTGTGTCATACAATCGAAGTGAAATAGAAGACCACTAGACTCACTGTGGGTTTACTAAACACGGTCTGCAGATAACGCTATAACGGATCATAGAAATATTGACTCCTGTAAAATAACCATTAACTTCAAAATTGTCATTGAAGTATCTACCAAAGTCCCAATCGAAAAGTGGGTTGACTTTGTGTGATAGTCTATAGCGCGCGAAAAATTGATCTATTTATAAATCATTCGGGGCGAGCGATAACATAATGTCTTTCGTAAAAGAAGAGAACATTTTTCATTACTGTGAGCTATTGACGTGGATAGACTGAGTGGCGGGGGAATTTAGCTAAGTGGGCTGTGTACAGTTATGAAAATAGAGCGAAAATTGCCACAGGAAGTTGCAGTAGTCTCTCTATAAAACGTTTATTAATTACAGTTCAAAAGAGTCTGTCGAACACCATCAAGCCGTCGGTAATCACAAAACAGACCACATAAGTGACCTTCAGATCCTTCCAACGGAACAGGTCATAAAGACAGCATGGTCTATAAAAAACAGATAACGCAATGGGTTGGCAAAAAGCAGGCAACATAGCGCGCGATTTTAGCTAGATAGACACCTAACTGTGATCTTTGTATAGAGATTGGATTGATGTAGAGTACGGTCTGCCACTGTGTTGGCTGGCGCTCTTACTGAGTGATCAGTTTGAGTTTAAATAAACTTCTTTCGCAGCTGTCATCATTAACTTTGGCCGACATGCGACGTTCCAACCCCACGTGAGCTGCAAAACTATCCCCGTATAATATATCGAGTCAGTCTCTCTACTTGCAGATGGTACTGGCTTGCGCAATGCCCGCTTGCTATCCGATTACAAAGCGTCATCTTTGGAAAAGACTCTCAACTGGGAAGCAAACATATTCTGACATTTATTTGATGATAGTTCAAGGACAGCATTATTTCTGGTCAATATGTAAAGATTGATATCATGGTAGAGATAGTTGTTTTATCATCTAATTGGGGACGAATTGAGATGATGTATGATACATTAAGTGTTGGCTGAACAAGATGTTTTCGGCTTTCTTGAATATGCACTCCTTAGTAAACCACACATAAACTTGTAAGACAAAGGAAAAACCTCCTTGTTTTGATACAGTATTTTTTGAAAACTGAACACAAAAAAGAGCGCTAAAGTGTTCAAACATTTGCAGTAAAAGGAAGATAAAAAAGGTCAAAACTGATGCGCGGAAACAGACTTCAAAGTGCAGCACGCGAGCGTGCGACAGAAAAGCTGCATACGCACTTGCTAATCCAAGAAAAGTATCTTTTGGTCAGCGTATTTTAATGCACAAAAAAAACTGAATTCTAAAAATTGCTCAACTCTCAAGTCTATTTTACAACACATTGTTCACTGCGTATGAGAAATAAGGCAGAAAACGTGTGAAAAACTGTATTTTAAAATGAAATTCGCACGTGCACGGAATGGAAAAAAACACTTTTGTTTGAAAATAAAGGTTTAGTTTTGTCCATGCTTGTAAACATAAAAGGTGGTAAAATTGTGATGAAAACACGAACTAAAACCTTGAGGCAGAACTTAAAACTGAATTCAAAGTTAAGTTTCCTCAATAAACAATCAATTTAGGCTTTTAACAGTTTTTTTTACGAGAGCAGCGAAGTATGTTCTCAGTGATATCAAGAAATCTAAGATGCTTAAATCTGAATAAGGCATCAATTCGAGTTAAAGTGAAATGAGATCTTAGAGGTGGAAGCGACGTGCGGCGGTGTAGCTCACTTGAATCTATCAAAGCAATCTTATCGAACAGAATTCAGGGATCTTATATCAGAATAGTATTCCAACCCCTCATAAGAAACCAACGGTTTGATAACCCCCTAAAAACAGTTGTTTACAACGGCCTTTCACCTTGAACTCGAAACCTCGCTCTGTTTTTAGAGTTATCATACCGCATAACCCTTGCGGAAGAAAAAGAGCTTCAATTCCGTAAGGTGTAGTTATGCACTTTTGTAGCAAGGATGACTATATGACCCAATCTTGATTGTATTAAGAAGCAGCTGTGATGGTTTGCAGGAATTATAAACAAGCTTTAACTGACAGTAAAGATCTGTATTTGAATTGCAAAAAAGCCGGCCGAACTAAAATGAAATCTTCATTATCGTATAAAAAATTGGTGCGAAGCGTGTGCAAGTGGTATACGTGTATCTTTAAATGACAAATGAACAGTTTTTAAACTATAATATCCTAATAATATAATAATTATCAAGTATTTCAGA